ACACACACACACACACACACACACACACACACACACACACACACATACACACACACACCATTGGCGTACAACAAAATGATTCCATGTCCTTCAAATTCAAGTCTTCCTTTCAACTTCCCTTCAGTATTTAACATCTTCATTCTGTTCTCTGTCATTTTTGCAATGTTCTTTCTCTACGTCTCAACCAACAGACATCTTGTTCATTCACTCACAGAAACACAATTGCTTTCAGATCTCTTGGAGCAAATGATTTTGGAAGTCATCTTATATTCAGTCTTTGTCAGTCCTATCGAAATCCAGCTTCTCCTTAATCTGCCCTCGGCTTTTCAGTATTGTGTTCCTTCACATCTCCTAGGCCACAATTCAACCAAAAGATAGTCACACGTGTGAAGCAGAATGCATCACACGCACAAATAGCCACACGTGTGAAGCAGAAACCATCATCCTGTCAGACCAAAGGAACTAGTGTCTTCAAAATGCAAACATCCCAAATCCCTTAAATTTGGGACCATCAGGAAATTCCTTATTTTCTTTTACACGTACTTTGATTACATTTTATGAGCTGACAGACTGATTCCCAAGTACCCAAGAGATGGGAGATGCATTGTTGCTAATAAAATCACTGTTTGTTTTTTAAGGGAGCCCTTTTTATGCAAAGAACTCCCCCCCCCAGAGGAACTTTGAAATGGGAAGCTGTTTCACACATTAAGGCAGAAGGCAAGCCCAGATTTCTCTGAAACGTTTGGTCAACAGGGAGCCATCTTCCCTCCTGCCTCCCTAATGAGCATATTTTTATGAAACACATGTTTACCATATTTGCCTTTCAATTTATGTAGGAAGGGCTATCTCTCAGAGGCAGAACATATGCCACTCCTGGAGAAAACTACAGCCAATTCTCTTATAGCTAGAACAAATCTTGATGGAAAATTCGGGAGTGATATTGCTAGGGCTATCGGATCTTGGTTGCAAGTATATGAATGATCACCAGATGGCAGCAAAGAGCTAAAGACACCTCTAGCTCTTTGCTGCAAACCAATGGCCACAGAGATTTCTGCAGCCCAGATCCAGTAATCCTAGTTACTGGTCATCTCTGTAATAGTAAGTTTAAATATATATTTATGTCGCTAGAAGATTGTTCCTAAATACCTCTCTCTCCCTCTCTCCATCCATCCATCCATCCATCCATCCATCCATCCATCCATCCATCCATCCATCCATCCATCCATCCATCCATCCATCCATCCATCCATC